AAAGAAGTAATTTTTTATTATGAATTACACAAAGATATCAGTGTATTAATTTTCCTGCTTTCTATTATCCACTACAAATTCTGTTCTATTTTCTACCTAAATGTATAAGAGTAAAATATTGATAATATGAAGTTAAACACATAATCTTCATATAATTATATTCAAATATTTGAACATTGAAAATTACACTACCAAAGTTTTCAGCGAATTATTCCTACTTTCAGAAATTAGAAATTGTCCAGAACAATTAAAAGTGAAGAAATTAAGTGTTTCACTTTCAACTCTCAAAGGCATCGTACGCCAGCCATGGGAGGACCCTAATTCAAAGGATTCCACTGAACAACGTCTTAGAGAATCCAGAACCCAGGATCCCAGAAAACTGTAAATACGCAAGATGAAATTGTGATTTTTCCTTTGTTTCAGTTCTAGACATCTGCATACTTGTAATGAAATCTTAAATTAGGATCAACTGGCAGAATTTGTCCTGCAGTTTTTTCCAAGTGCAGTGGAATTTTCTAGAAAAATGGCAAGTGACTAAGGCTAAAAATATAAATAAAAGAATTTCAAATCTTGCTCAAGTAAAGTATATTTAACTTTTTGAAATGTTTTAAACATTGACAAGTAGAATAAAATAATACTGAAGATTTTTCATTTTGCCAATTTGATGCTAAAATATTTATTTAGTAGCTCGTACAGTTAAATTATGAAAAGCATTTTCGGCCATCTCATAATTTTTAGATACTGAAAGACAAAAATAGAGTTGTTAGAAAACGGTAACTGAGCAATAAAACAGATGAAATCTGAGACTTCAGTTTTGCTGTAATTGTAATGTCGAGCCCAAACTGACATGCTACATACTGAGGGTCGGCGGAGCGCGGGAAATGACCAGCTTGGGACGCACATCGATTTCTGGTCACAAGTAAACATTTTGGTATCATCAAAACTGTTCGATTATCATATTGGATTATCATATTTGATCCAACCAGCTGTGTGAATCCTCTTGCCTGGAGGAGGTGCATTCTACCCTTTGGGTCCATTATGCGTCATGCACAGAACCACGTTGGGTTCCATTCTTCCCTCTCCTGAATTGCAGACACTCAAGGTCTTCTGAAGTTTGATTTAGATATGACTTCACACAGGGAGTGCAATTCAGTGGATGTTTATTGAATCACTGTCGTGTGTAACAGGCATGAAGCTCGGTTTATAGATGAGCGCCATAATCTCAGGCTTCCTACAGCTTAGCGTAGGGTGTGGCAAGCATGTTACTCCAGCGCAGGACAGGATGTAATTGGTTCTTAGGAAAAAGGCAAGAGAAGGTGATACTGTTTACAGAAGGGAGAAGAGGGAGGAAGATGACACGAATGTTCTGGAAGGAGTTGTGATAAGTGGGCTACACATGACAGAAATTGGGAAAATGCTGATGGGTGATGGAATCTTTGGGAAAATAGCTTCAGAAAGGATTGGCTTCGAAGGCCACAGACAAAGGGAAGAGAGATTCTTGTGAGTGGGTGCAGGTAGCAGGCCTTGTGTGGGGAACAGGACAGGGGCTCTTGTAAACGGCTAAGTGTCAAAGCCAAATTAGAGCACCGTCCAACTAAAATTAGAACTGTAGTTTCCAGGAGTCCTAGGAAACAGCCTTGAAAGACAAAACTGTGGGAAAATTAAAATGTTATTGAAGGCTTCCTCATTATTCCTTTGACGGTAATGGCTAGTTCTTGTGAACGTATTTGATAAGGAGGTCACTGGACTAATTTTATATCACTTTAGGCACACAGTAGAATTCCCAGATTTAGAAGCACATATCCCTGGAAAGCAGGGCTCTGCACTGCGCAGACTCTCACCTGTATCCGTTCCACTTCCAGAAAAGCAGCTGTTTGAAAGGCCCTTTCCCACTGGGCCAGGTCACTCTCCAACTCCACCGAGAAGTACAGGTCCTCCCCGGATTCGGACTGGACGGTGAAGCAGTGTTTCCGCCGGTCCAGCAGGTCACTGTCCTGATGAAAACCCGGAGTTACACAGGCTGGCACGCAGCAAGTCAGAGCGCTGCACAGCCGCAGCTCGCATCAGGCTGGCAGGACAAGGCGCGGCTGCCTCAGCTACAGAGGAATACCACGCACCAGAGCCCTAGACTTGACTAAAAGTGGCTCCAGCAAGCAAAACCGCAGCCTTCGAAGCCCACAGCTGGCATGTCGCTTCTTTGGGTTACCACTGTAACTTGTCCATAAAGTAGATATTAAGGCTTCTGATTTTCATTCTCTCTCTCTCTCTCTCTCTCTCTCTCTCTCTCTCTCTCTCTCTCTCTCCAAAGATTGAACTCAAGACTCTGTGTAAGGATTGAACTCAAGACTCTGTGCTTGCCAGGCAAGCACTTATTCTACTGAGCTATCTCCCTGCCCTAATTTCCATTCTAAGTTGCAATGAAGCTACAAAACTGTAATACAATAAACTTGCCTTATAGGAAGGAATAAAACATTGTCTTCTCTCTTCTGTACAGTACAGTTAAGACACTGAAATTGAAGTGTTTATGATTATATTTGAACATTGTAAAGAGTTGTACAAGTGTGGAAGATTCTTATTCAATTTATTTCTAAAGCTTATTAAAAAATCACGAAGCCCTGGGGTCATGGTTTGAATCCTAAAGTCCACGGAAGGACTGCGGCCCAGTGCAGCCATGTTTAAAGGTGGGGCTTTGTGGAGACGATTGGATCACGAAGGCTTTGGCCTCCTGAGAGGATTAATACATTTATGAACTCATAGTTTAATGGGTTTCAGAGAAGGGGCCTTGTTATAAATTAAGCCCTTGTTCCTGTACACCACCAAGAACTAAGTAGCTATGCCCACTACCTGCCTTCAGAATATGCTGTCAGCAAAAGCCACTTCAGAGCACAGACTGAAAACCTTTGAAATGCTGAGACTTTTCTTCATTTACAGTGATTTTCTTTTCTTTTTGATTTTTTTTTTGGGGGGGGGAACCAGAAATTGAACTCAGGCCCTTGCCCTTGCCAGGCAAGTGCTTATTCTACTAAGCTATCTTCCTGCACCCCCCTTACATTGATTTTCCTCTAATATATTGTCATAGAAATGGAACCCTACCAGACATGGAAAATGCAAAAGGGATTGGGCTTAGTGATATTCACAGCAATGATATTGAGTTTGTCTTAATTTATTTTTTATTGAGTCAAAAATTTTTGAAGTCATAATTTCTTGGTCTTACTAGAGATTTTCAAGTGAAGCATTCATTCAGTTTCCGTGTGCTTCAATTCCAATGTGTTTTCTAATTGCAAACATATTAAAATGTGAAAAATATAGCTAAGAAATTATTAAATAGAATAACTCAAGGCAGTTTGTCATAACTATCCTTTGAAATATATAAGCATCATACTGAAAATTTTAAAGGTTGATCATTCATATCTCTAATTTTTTTCTATTGTTGGAGGTACACACAAACATATCATTAGACACTGAAAATTAGGTCAGATGGAATTCTCTGTTCATGAGCTTCCTATTTTCTATATAGTGGAAAAATTAAAAAGTCGAGTTTTATCAGTACAGTTCAAAGATAAACAGGTTGTTAAGAAATTTTAGTAATGTGGACAATGTGTCTAGGAAAGGTGTCAATAACAGGAAAAACATAACGACACTAATAAATGTGGTAGTTCAAATTATTATCAGTGCCATTATAAAATGGAGATGTTATGTTATTATGGATTGAGAATCCAGAGCGATGTTCTTTAGGAAAGAAATTTTAAACAGTCATTAAAAAATGAGTAGAAAGATGCAAAGCTAGCTCAGAGATCTAAGCACCTGCCTGACAAGCACAAGGACCTAGGTTTGATCCCTGGCACTGCATGCTGTGTCAGCCCTGGAACCCGGGGTGAGCTATGCGGGCCACCAAAACTGGGAGAAATGGTGTATACCTGTGGTCTCAGCACTGAGGAGGCTGAGACAGAAGGGTCATTACAAGTCTGAGCTGTGTAATGAGGCCCTGTACCAATTTTTTTTTCTTGGTGGGGGGAACCGGGGATTGAACTCAGGCCCTTGTGCTTGCCAGGCAAGTGATTATTCTACTGAGCTATCTCCCCAGCTGCCCCTGTACCAAATGAATAAATAAATAAATAATTTTTAAAACTTGAAAATTAAATATAGGTGAATAATGATAAAAGTGGACAGCAGAAGTGTTCTTTCAAGAGAGAAGGGCTGGGAGGGTCCGAGTCCTGAGGCCAGCTGAGTGAGGGCACATCCCAGAAAGCCACAGCTGGTGATGGACGTGAGGTCACCAAACAACTTTTGAATTTTCCACTTGGACATGAACCTAATGACAAGCTAGTTTGTCACAATTGTACTCAATCTTTATCTATACTGTAGATATTTTGATGTCTACATTGATTGTACAGTTAATAACATTGTTAGGAATATTATTACTAAACATTGCAGAGTTGTCAGGAATGTTGCCAATTTTTTTTCGTTGTTGTTGTTCAAACACTGGCCTTAACTTTCCTTGTGATAAAATTGTTAATTTTTAAAAAAATTAATTCTATTGAGAAATAAATAGCAATGAGACAGTTTCAAAACAGGTTAGTATGACAGTGATAAAAATACATTGCATATTGTTGTCTTCATAGTAGTTATTCATAGTACAAGATGCAGACATGATATCTTGTCTCAACATGATTAGTACAAATTCTTCTCATTGAACTAAGGGAAAGTAGCTGTATATCTAACCTAACTCTTTTGTATATACACATATATATTTTTTCACTAATAAAATAAAATAATATGGTTAGTCAATGACATTACCAGGTAGGAAATTTTGATGTGCTTTCCTTCTTGTGAATTTCATGCTGTAATAGAATTTCAATGTGAGCTTCATGTACAATTTTTCTATTCTGGTTGCAAAACTTATCTTCACTACTCTTTTCAAACCTGATTCAGCATATTCAACATCATTATCTATGTGCTGAAGCTCTTCCAAAGGTTTCTCTAATGAACTCTGGAAACACAATTTTATCATCTCTAATTCCTGCACTTGCTATTCTTAATTATAAAGCATTTCTTTTACAATGATTCGTCTTCTGAACTACTAGGGACACCTGAACATATCTGGCCTCCATTTAGTGAGAGAGATAAAGAAATCAAAATTATAAAAATCTTATGCGAGTTACAATGATTAAGGAATGAAACAAGGAACAACAAATAGTTTTGGAGATAGTAGGAAGGGGGATATTTTATTCTAGAAGGAGACTGGAGCATGGCCAAGGAGTGCAAGACAAAGGCAAGAGCAACCAGCTAGAGGCCCCTGATCCCCCTAGAAGGCTCAGGCCTGCACAGTTGGAAGGGCACTGGAGGGGTTCAGGAAATACAGAGGCAGAATTGAGTGCCTAGGAGTGAGGGGGAAACAGGCAGGAGAAGAACCCACAAAAAGGCAGAGGTTTGAGATCTTCATGCTGAATGGTTAGTGAACAGCAGCTGGAGCCAAATGCTGCACAAATTTGATTTAAAAGTGATTATCTAAAGTATGGGACACAGAATTCTCCTCAGTGGAGTTTGAGATTCCACTTTGGCTTCTTAGAGCTTCTCAAAGCATTGTGTTCTTCTTCTTCTCGTTGAGTAAAAGTAGTTCCTATCAAGGTATGTACAAATAAGAAAATGCATTATTAATAGAGTAGTTAGCTATTAAGATGTGTACAAATAGAGACTCATGTTGTCTAGAAGCATTAATGGAAAAATGAATATTTATGAATGCTTATCTGCATACATATACATGAGCATATCTATACTCAAATATATGTATATTCTTGTGTTAGGTGGCCACGTCTATATTAAGTGATAGTCTGAAATTAAACTGCAGCTCTTCTATTTACTACTGGAAAAATTAGTCACCTTAACTATAGTTATCTTGACTCTTCTATAAAATTGAAAGAATCACTTGGCCTCATAATGATGATTTAAAAATACATTATGTATAATTTTGGCCTAGATTTGAAGCACAGACAACCTCCGTTAGTGTCAGATATTTCTGATATCAAGGTTGATATCAATAAAATGAATACACATCACTCCTAATTCCTCCTTGATCTGTCCTCTGTGTACCTATTTCAATCTTCTGTCATAGTGGGACTCTTTCCCAGTGGCCTCTCTAATACCTTGTGCTCATTGGAAGTACTAATGATAACAGTAGGATATAATATAGCTAAGCAATCTTGAGAGTCATCTTGCATACTTTTCCCAGTTAGTTTTAGATGTAACGCAAGGCTCTGGAACTCTTTCTTTAGACCCCACACAGCGATTCTCGGCTGTACAGAGCAGAGCTACAGTATAACCATGTTACCGCTGTTTGCTAATAATGTAGAATGTCCTAAAGTATTCAAAAGTCAGTGAATATAGAGTATTTTATTGAAAACAAATAAGCAGTATGTTTTAAAGAATTACTGAGATCAGAAATATCAGCAACTATATAGTTTGCTTTCTGTTTAAAACTTAGAAGACAAAAGGCAGAGAGGACTGCAGATTCCGAGCTGTTGCAGCCAGCGGCCTGCGTGTCTGTGCGTAGTTGCTTCCACCCTTGCCGCCGCACCTGTTCATTCACAGGACAACGTGGCGTCTGGCCTGCTTCACACTTCTCCAGGACTTCTCTGCCTTGCTCTAGTAAAGCTTTCTGCTTGCCTGACTCCAAGTCAGTGACATCTGTAAAGGCGAGTGTGGACGTGAAAAAGGAACCGCCACGGCACAAATGAACATTTCTGCATCAGTGGATTAGCCACCGCTTCCCTTTCAAGCTATCTATTAATTGATGCTTACAACCATTAAGGTTGTTAATACTCTTTGATTTTAACTCAAAAGGAGTCAAGAAATCACTCATTCATTAGCCATGAAGTTATTCAAATCACACGAAATGAGATTTCTTAATGAAAAGGAAGATCAGGTCTAAGACGGATTCTTCATCAATGGTTTTTATTCTTCCACAGTTTTTCTAATTATTAAAAAGGGGAGGGGA